CATGACTTGTCTAGCTGTGTAGAGGGCACTATGCTCTTTGGGCACCCTACAAGCTTAGGTGTACAGTTATGGTGCATACAACATGTAGATACTTATATATAATGTGTGTATATAGTGTAATAACACTGCAAACAGTATTGTTGGGGGAGAAATTTATTATGTGTGACCTTGAATGAGTGAGGGAGGCGGCCGCCAGCTGACTATGTGTAGCGACGCCTCTTAATGCCTGAACTAACTATATCAGTTTAGTTGTACAGTTGTGTTGAACAAAACATGTAGATACTTATATATAACGTCTGTATATAGTGTAATAACACCACAAATGGTATTGTTGGGAGAAAATTTTTAGTGCGTGTGACCTTGAATGAGTGAGGGAGGCGGCCGCCAGCTGACTGTGTGTAGCAATGTCTCTTAATGCCTGAACTAACTATATCAGTTTAGTTGTACAATTGTGTTGAACAAAACATGTACTTATATATAATGTCCGTTTACAGTGAATAAAATAAAAAGCAGGATGGTGAGAGGAGAAAGTGGGCGAGTGAGGCGTTGCTGAGGGAGTGGCAATGAGTGGCTGGCTGGTGTGTGGCGGTCACTCCTCATTGCTTTTCGACTCACAATATCAACTTAGTGGTTCATTATGGAGGACAAAACATGCAGATGCTTATATATAACCTATGTATAGAGTGTAATAACAGCTAAACTATTTGTTTATTGTTTTATGAACATAATAATTGAATCACTAATATGCACACCATACTTTTGAGTATAGCGATGATTCACCCCTTTTATTAAATAAATATATCACAATACACACTATTGAATAATATTACTGCAAAAAAAGAAAAAAAGAAAAAATCAATCGGAGACATTGAAATAATTAGGTAATAATAACTTTGTGGCAACTCCCACCTGTCAGCGCGGGTGATGTTGACTGGCTCTGACGACCGCTTTGTCAACGCCCACATTTTGCCAGACTTCCTCGGCCTATTGCGCCCAAAATATGTCACCCACGATTTATTTTTTATTTTTCCCGTGCTCAGGGAACACAAATTAACATTTTTAGAAGACGAAATAATTTTTTAGAATTTTTTTTCTTGCGCACATGGGTGTAAATCTCCTCAGGACCCCTTAGCAGCTTAAGGGTTAATTACATTCTTGTATCATAATTATCATGACTCTCTCTCTCTCTCTGTTCCAATTTCATTGGGTGTGGAGGTAACAGGCTGCAGGAAAATAAAGCAGTGCTGCACAAGAAGGTTAAAGATGCTTAAACCCTGAATGACAAAGCTAATTAAAAGTCCCACATCATGGTGCTTCTTCCTGGAGCACAGGAGAAAATTTTAGATAGCCATTGGAGCCATGTTAAGGGTTAAAAAGATGTTCATCCATTCACCTTATCTTCCAAATCTATTAACAAACACCAGCAAAATATCCAGAGTGCAGTAGATTTAAGGCTTTCACCCATTTGTCATCTAAAGCTTCTAATGATTTGTCATCTATAATATGTAAAGCAATCATACCCTCTTAATAAACTCATTTCCTCTTGGACTTAAATTGCATCACCTTAGATTTACACATTAGAGAATGGGAGCAGAATTCTTCCAAAACTTGTTTACAAGCTGTGAGCTCATCCTACCACAAGTCATATTTGAAGCCTTGCCCTACTTGTTTTTCCAAGAACACAATCCACAATTACTGCTGGATATACAGGGGTGAACAGAAAAGAGTGCCCAATTGTTCCAACCTGCAATGGATTTGAACCCCAGATAGTCTCACTTGAGAGTCGAGTGTGCTGGCAGAGTCACACCATAGAGTGACTCTGCTCACACACAGTTCGCACTCCATCCCTATGTCCTTACACTCTCACCATATCTGTCCATCTTCGTGATCTTCCATTCCTTCTATATACAAATTCACTTGAACACATTCTCTTCATCACTCTATCTTTATCCATTCACCATCTAAAAACACATTGTAACAATTCGCTGACTATTGCACTAATATACCGAGAGTCATAGACGATAGATGAATTAACAACAGAATCAACATTATGGGACAAAGACTTTTCAACGCTCTCCTTCTAAACATAGGGCATTCCTAGTCAACCTCTCACTATGTTCAAAAGAGAATTTGATAAACACCTCCAAAAGATAACTTACGAACTGGGCGGTGATTCATACGTCAGCCTACGAGAAGCAGTGTGTCTAACAGCCTGGTTGTCCAGACCACCAACCAGGAGGCCTGGTCAGAGATATGGCTGCAGGAACATTGATTCTTGACCAGACCACACACTAGAATGTGAAGGGATGATGACGTTTCGGTCCGTCATGGACCATTCTCAAGTCGACAATCGACTTGAGAATGGTCCAGGACGGACCGAAACGTCGTCGTCCCTTCACATTCTAGTGTGTGGTCTGGTCAACATACTTTAGCCACGTTATTGTGACTCATCGCCTGCAACATTGATTCTTGGAACCAACAACATGTAGACAACAGGTAGGTAGGATGAGAAATAGCATGAGAAGGTGTATGGGTGTAAATTCTATATACACTGCATCATAAACATACAAGAAAATACAAAATTAATGTTCATTTGAGTGTGGGTAGTGGTCATACACCAGGAAATAAGATGCACACTGCATAAAATTAATGCTTTTATAAAATTCACACTGTACCTACTCAGTAACCACTGTAATTGGTAATGTGTATATTTTATAAATTATTATTATTATTACTACTACTACAATGTTCATATGGAGTGCAGGTAATAAACAAGCAGAAGAACTTGGAGCAGAGGTCATGGAAGACCCTTACATTTACAGCTCCAAGAATAACTACGACAGAGTACAACACTGGGAGTTATAAATGCACCAGGTACAATATATATTAAGTGAGGCCCATGAACTCAATTTCACTTCCTAAATAATCCCCGACCATCCAAGTGGTTGGCCACCATTCCTTCCCCCTGACCTATCCCAAATCCTTATCCTGAGCCTCTCCAAGTGCTATATATTCATAATGGTTTGGCACTTTCTCCTGATAATTCCCTCCCGCTCCCTATAGGCACAGATAGACAAGCACACAGACTGACAGGTAATGCTACAGCTCAACTGCTAGTCAGTTGTGGTGCGACTGTACTCAAAGGTAAAAAAAAAAAAATAACGTTCTTCCCATAACAACAGCTCCACAAAGCACTCCACTAATATCAAATATAACTTTTGAAGACATGGATTAATGATTTTGATACATAGACTTTGACCAAGAATGTTTGTTATTAGAAAACTTGTTAATAACACTCCTTAACTGGTAGTATCTGTATTAAAATCAAGTACAGGAGGTCCCGGTTATACAAACACTCTTCCAACAAAATGGCCCCTCAAGTTGCCATTCCTGCATCAATTCACTAGTCAAGCCCACTCTGCCGACCCCAGCATTACAAGCGGCGCTAAAACATCGGTACGGTGGCCACATGGTGGCATAGGTTAGCACAAAAATGCCTGCACAACCCACTAGGGGAGACGGATATATTCAAATGGTACACTTGACTATTCAACAGCTGGTTTTCTGATCGTCAAAACAATATACAGTAAATCATTAGGTTGGGATGTATTAACTTAGATTAGGGTGTGTTAGGCTCAGTTGAGTTAGTTAGATTAGGTTTGTTTGGATAAGGTTAGGTTTGGTTGGGCAAGGTTAGGTTTGGTTGGGTAAGGTTAGGTTTGGTTGGGCAAGGTTAAGGTTAGGTTTGGTTGGACAAGGTTAGGTTTGGTTGGACAAGGTTAGGTTTGGTTGGACAAGGTTAGGTTTGGTTGGACAAGGTTAGGTTTGGTTGGACAAGGTTAGGTTTGGTTGGACAAGGTTAGGTTTGGTTGGACAAGGTTAGGTTTGGTTGGGCAAGGTTAGGTTTGGTTGGGCAAGGTTAAGGTTAGGTTTGGTTGGGCAAGGTTAGGTTTGGTTGGGCAAGGTTAGGTTTGGTTGGGCAAGGTTAGGTTTGGTTGGGCAAGGTTAAGGTTAGGTTTGGTTGGGAAAGGTTGGTATAGTTTAAAAATACATTGGCAAACTGTCGTGCGAGAGATGTGACTTCTGTCCGAGAAGATCCACACTGCCTCACAGTCAACAGGTTTTTCATGCACAAGCCTAGACACACTGAAATTCTTTGGAATTTATCGCTGAAAATACCATTAACAATGGCTGATAGGAGCAGAATGAGTGTTGGTAATGCACCAGTGCCAATGAAAAGGCGACCCATTACCTTACGTACCAAGTTGGAGATTATCAAGCACTCTGTGAAGGATGAAAAACCAACAGAGATTTGCAAACATTAACAGCATGAAATACTCGCCAACTGGGACCATCCTGCACCACCGAAATCGACGACAGTGACATTGATGATGACCTAAAGGTGTTTGCCACTCACCCATCATCCCCCAACATCAAATGCAGCTATTGACACTGAAAATGATTGGCCAATCTCCACTGCAGACACATCGCTACCTACAGCCCACACATCACCTACCACCGCCGTCTCCAGCAACTAATCTCTTCACTCTTAATGAACAACTAACTATGACAAACAAGACAATGCCATCATTATATGTCCCAAAAATATGGGTTATGTGATGATTTTTGGTGGTCTGAAAGTACATCCCTCATTTATAACATTGTGCCTATGGAAATCACAGTATGCATACAAATGCTTTACGAATGCATTTGCAGAACGTAACCCATTTGTAATGGGGAGGACTGTCTATAATGCACCATCAATCATGTCACCCCATCTAACAACTAATGTGTGTTTAATAAGTAATCAACTTTCCTGTACATCTGCCATGTTAGCCAAAATAAGAATGTAGAAAACTGAGTATGAGTTATGATTTATTAAATCTAAAAATTATTGAATTTATTAATAAATTAAAAATAAAACTTTCACCTACCTCAAAAGCTGCATTCACAATATGGCAAAGGAAAATTGCACACCATATAAGAAATTGATGGCTTACCTTATCTGTCTTCAAACTGGTGTTTGCATCATCTTCGTCAGCTTCCGCGTTGCCAGCAGAGTCATCAGCGTCCAGATTAGGCTGTTCCTCAGTGTCGTCGTCTCCTGAAACAGGGGGTCTACGTCAACAATTCCAAGGAAACAATTACAATCATTCCAACATGTCATTTTCTACAGAGAAAAAACATGATGACTTTCTGTCCATGTTTATTTAAAGCCCCCATTTTTCATCACATCCACATACACCTCTACCATTACAGCCACAGACACCTCTACCATCAGTCACAAACACACAGATTCCAGCGGTAAGCAACCAGCAGGACTTCATACCAGGTATGATATCAAGAGAACCACGAGGAAATTGGCAGGTGTTCGTTACAACACTCCATTATTAACTCCAGGACGGCAAAGGGAGGAATCTGATACATGCAACAAACCAGGCCTGAAAATAACAGAAAAGGCATCTGCAGTGGTAATGAGCGCCAAAGCAAAGATCTTACTTACTACTTGGGGGATTTTTGTGTTCTTGGGTAGTTTTTAATGACCTGACTGCTATTGATCAGTGCAGCCATAAGGTTAACCCTTAAACTCCTTCAATCGTCTTGAAGTGCCCCCATTTTATTCAACATCCCCCACCCATTCTAGGGGGATGTAATGTGACACTAGAGGCCTCTGTCAACTGTTTGCCATATTTGGGAACATTCCTGAGTCCCTTTAGTTTCCTTTTAGAGCCTTAGTAAAAAAAGATGATGACCATGTCTGGTGCATCACCCTCCAGTGAGTGAACGTGTAGGGTAGACATGCTTGGAACCACTGAACTTTTACAACTGCGTATATGTATTGTTTTGCCTAATAGGCTAAGTTGCTTAACAAGCTGAATTTTCCTGAAATTGCATATTTTTCAACAAATTTTCTTATAGAATGACAAAGCTTGCAGTTGCATATGATTTGAATTTTTAAATTTGAGTTAAAACTAACATTGAAACTTGATCAAACCTAATCTAACATAATTAAGTTACTAATTAATGTTCTTAATATAATATTAATTGGAATAAACCAATTTGAAAAAAAATGAAAATCTCAAAAATCACTCTGCTTGTTAGACAAATCAGACCTTGCATACTAGGCCAAACATTGTGTTCTTGCTATTAGGCATGACAACCTGGTCGGGTCATGGAGTTCTTAAGTGATTTATGGCTTGGGCCCCATTCAAGCATTGTTTCACATTCTAGGCTAGGCGTGGCCCAAGTATGTACCAGGGCTTTGATGAATAAAATGTGCCGAAATTACACCACGAGCATCAATGGGGATTGTCAATGACAGTGTCAATGGGGATTGCTTAGTTATGGAGCTTAGTTAATAAGCTCCAGGACTAACCAATCCCTATAGACGATTGTTGGTAAAGTTGTTATGGTACTGTGTACACCAGGAAGGTGATACCGGGTGATAATAGCAGGTTCGAACTCTGGTCGTGGTCATAGTTATTTATAAAGAATTCCACTATTGACACATCAATATAACATGTGACCACAACAAAAAATTAAATAAAATGAGAAACAATGAAAATAAATGGATCAAGTTATTCCCATATGTCACCTCACCTTAGTTCTACCAAAGAAACCCAACTTCTTCGGGCCACTACAGGTAAACCACAAAAGGTAAAGACATTTTACATGGATTTTCATGTTTTCTGGATATTAACAGTTAAAAGATTAAGAATTTATTAAGAACTTTTTTTTGTGTATGACAGATAAAGTATCAAAAAAGTTGCACAGTGAGAGGGTTAAGCAAAATTAAAACAGCAATGAACCAAAAACCAATATGTCACTGGAAATGCCCCACAATATTCAAGTACATTAACTGGGACTAAAATTGGTTAACAGGAATTTTTGTTAAGCAAAATTAACAAATTAACTTTCCAACTAATATCATGAGAAATCAATGCTTCCATAGCCAGTGCTCAACTTGCACCAAAATTGGTTCATCTGCCTCAGGAAAATCTGCAGTGAAGGATGACATTTTTTATTCTGAGTGGCCATCCAGATGAATCATATCACAACCATTCTCAGCTACCACCTGACCCTTTCACCAACTTAATCAAATAACGATTCTGTCATTTCTCCATTTATAGAGGAATGACAGAATGACACTTTTCTATTTAAAATTTTAAAATTTCCAAGAATGCATCAGGGATATAAAATGAGGGATTACAGCACTGTACTTTGATATTCAGTTTACAAGCAGATTAAATTAAATTAAAGCATAATGGTCCTGGGTTCGATTCCTGCAGAAGGACAAAGATATTTCAGCAACATTTCCTTTCAAATGATACCCAGATACCCAGAAATTAGGCAACTCTTTTGAGTTGCATCCAGGGGAAGTCTGTCGTTGGTTCAGAGGGACCTAACATCTTATGCCTCTGTTCACCTACCAGTAAATAGGTACCCAAGAATTAGCCAACTGTTGTGGGTTGTATCCTGTGGAAGGTAAGTAGTTGGTCTAGCTGGACCTCGATAAGCTTAACAGCATCCAGTTTCCAACATTGGGAAATTAAACCAATACATAATACATATTGATTCTGGGTGTTTAAAGTTCCTATATCACATGGGGCCAAAAGGCTCACAACAGTATTTCTATGTTTATATGCTATACTCTTTAGTCTTCAACTTACCCAATATTTTTGTTACAAGCTGTCCTAACTTCTCTCCCAGAGATGCTTTTCCTGGGCTCAAATTTTCTTTAGGATTCTTTGGTGGTCTGCCTGGGCCTCGGCCACGTCCACGACCTCTTCCTCGACCTCGCCCGCGGCCCCGTCCTCTATGACAAAGAAGTAGAATAGCAGTTTAAAACAGCATGTATGAAGTTCCAAGAATTACAAAAAATCACGTAACTTTAGTTTTACTAATATCAACAACCTTCTCTCACAATATTACTCACTATTTTCTCTCTGGATTAATGCTTCCCCACCTCATGAATGTGGAAAATATGGTAATGTGTGATGTATCAATGAATTAAAATCTGAAGTAACCTGATAACAAGCATCCACATACTACAGGACCACACAAGTACCAAACAGACTGCCAAGACGCACGGCCCAACCGCTGCTACATGACACAGGAAAACCCAAGTTTTATAATACAAAATGTAGTTACTGTAGTACTTGGACATGGGGAAGTTCCTGGAGAAGGTCACCTATTTGGTCTAGGGCAAAATTGCCCTTCATGGCAAAATTGTTGAAGCAACCTCCATTCTCATTTTCAAAAATTGGAAAACAATGATCGCAGGAACCAAATCACTGTATTTACTAATAACTGGAAATACTTGGCTTAGGAGTTGAAGTTAGATCATGTACACATATCAAGGAGAGAACACACTCGCCCAAATTCATCTTTAAATTTCCCTTCAAATTCACAAATTCCTTTTCTCTAATATAATGACACCTATTATGACCAATATTTATTACTGTAAAAGAATCTATTATTATTTTTAGTCTGCATCTACCTTTAGTTGCTGTTTATATATAGAATGCAATAATGTGTGTCAAGTGCAATGCAAGTAACATAAGAATGCATGTTGGAAGAGAAAGCAAATTTTCTGTCAACTGAGGCTTAAGAGATAGATCTCACTCCCCATAGATACAACAGGGAAGCATTGTGGGTTACACATTATCAATATCTCGGAGTGTGGATGGATTCTAAAATCCACAACAATAATGATTTTACTTTTGCCGTATAAAACAATTATAATTATTATTATTACTTAACATGCAAAATCTTGTTCCAATGCTTTTATATAATGACGTACAAAGCATTATAGCACAATGGTCTACGTCCTTTTACGATAAAGGGTCCTGGGTTCAATTCCCGAATGAGACAAAAATAGAGGGTTACATTTCCTTTCCCCTGATGCCGTGTGTTCACCTAGCGGTCAGCAGGTACTGAGGAGTTAGGCAACTGTTGTGAGGTTGCAACCTAAGGAAGATCAGGAGTTGACCTAAGGGGACTTCTATTAGCTCCTTGTCCCCCGATAATAGGGATTAATTTTCCATGAAGCATTCATACTGACAAGAGTACAACCACATTTTCTATATACTGTACCTGCCACGCCCTCTCCCACGAGTTTTGCCCATCATCCACACGTTGTCATATGCTGGATTAAATTCAGGATCATCCGGTCTGATTCCCTGGTCTTCTGGCCGTAGTTCATCCGCTAAAAGGTCATCGTCTTCCTCTAATGGCTCAACTTTGAGCTTAATGCTTGGTTCATCATCTTCTACAGGACTGTCATCAATATCCATTGACTCTGTTGAAGGCGATTGCCCATAAAATTTGATATTGTAGATCAATCACTTTTTAAACATAGATTATTCAGTCATTAAAAAGAAATGCAGTTACTCTTGGCTGTGGAAATGCAAAATACTGTATTCGAAAACCCTACCCTATTTATGTTAATAGTTGGTGGAATTTGTTATCTTCATCTTTTTTTTTTTATCTTTTTTAAAAAGTTTTAGATCTGTTAAGAAGGCTTTTCAGCACAAGATATAATGAAAGGAGGTTTTCTTGGCAGGTTTGCGATTATTGAGGACCTGTTAAAGGAATTATGAAGAAAAGGTAATCAAATTACAACAAGAAAATGAAGGTCTCAAGATTGAGTTTTGTAATTTAAAAGGAACTATTTTCCAGCAAATGACCAGCTTAACTGATAAGGTAAGGATACAGGAGGCACACATCAAGGAACTAGTGAAAGATAATGAGGCATGGAAAGTGAAGAGTGGTGAATTTGAAGAAATAAACAAGAAAATAGACTCATATGGTGAAGAACTCCAAGGAACGCTGAAGGCCAACAGAGTTAGGCAAGGATATGCAAAGAGAAACTTCATGGACAACTCACATAGAGGAGGTTAATAAAGAACTAGGAAATGACAAAGAGGAAATAAGAGACATATGCACAAGTTGCAAAAGAGAAGATCATAAGGAAGTGTATGTTTGGAAGTAAAAATCAGAAATGACCAACAAGATGCAGAAGTTAGACAAGCAATTAGGTAATTAGTGCAAAACACTGCAGATAGAAGTAAGTCCATAATAATTTTCAGATGTTTAGAAAAGGAAATATCATCCAGGGTAGATAGAGCAATAGAAGAGATGAAAAGCATAGAGAAAACAGTAGGCTTAGGAGATGGCCTAAATTCAAAGGAAAATGTCAGTGATTTTAGGAGAATAGGAAAATATGAGAAGACAAGAAAAAACTGGGCCCTCTCACTGTACTAGGACCATGCACATTTCACACTAAATATCTTCCCATTTCCCAGAACTCTATACTTGTCTCTTTAGTTTTTTTCTTGAAAAAGGAGATGGGAAATTCTTCGTACCTATATTTTCGTCAGTTCCTCCTGGTAGCTTTAGTCTCCGCAAGAAAGACCGGTTGTACCATCCTGTTATCGTATTTTTTATGACATCTGATCGCTGCTGCATTTCATCCAATTCGTCAAGCAATTTAAAACATCGTCGACATAAAGTCTTGGAATACACCTGCCAAAGAATATAAATGTAAAAATTCATAGATTTAAGTGAAGGTTACCAATGCAATGAATATGTTGCAAATATAGATGAAAATACTGTACATATTTCACTGAACAGTGACTCTCTTTAGCAAGAAAGCATACACACCTGAGAGGCATCCAGGGGAGACTTAATAATTTGCTCCAGCATACTACCCAGCTGCTGATTAGTGTGAGTCGTAACACTGGAGTCCAGGAACAAGTTGTGTATATCCTGACCATGGATATCCTTGATGACTCGGTCACATACCTGTAAAAAATCACCACATTACATTTTCTTAGCACACTCAGTGTTTGCATATTGAGAACACAAGAACTATGGCAAAACTGAAAATGATTGGAAAGAATAATGTGGATTGCTTCCCTCATTCAGCCAGTCATGTAAGGTAAACCAAAGTAAAAATAACAGCATTCTATGTTGTTATAGTAAATAGTATATAAATAGTATAAAAATTGTGTACATAGGTGGACATGCATGACAGTCACAGCTGCATGTTAAGGGGTAAAGCTATGTGTAATTTTCTTGCATGACTCAATCAAACTTGTTGTGGTTGTAAATCTATTAATATTAAGTCCAAGTAGACTGTAATAATTTATACAAAATAATTGCAAGTAAACCATTTGATTAAACATATAAATTGTTTCAGGTAGTCATTTTTCTTGCACAATATTTGCTGGTAATTTTCAGCATGATAATCAGAACTGAAAGTAATGCTGGATGCTACTCGGCTGCATTTTACAAACTATTTTTAACCTCTTTAAGAAAAATCTGGATTGAGTCTACTTACCAAGCAAACAACTGGAGTCCCGGGTGTTAATTCAGCCTCCTCCATTTTTGAATCCTCCACAGCCCTTTGGACTGCTATTGGGGTACCTTCACTCATGTTCAACATGTACTGCAATCACAACGGTAAGGTCAGGCATGCTAGATTTAAATACGAGTTTCTATGGTTACTACTGTATATAGCAATTACTATATGCCTGAAGCACTCATCATATTACTGTAGTGACATTATGTGTTTTACTTTTCTTACCTACGAATTCTCCACTGTTTCATGTATTAAATGTACTGTATAACTCTTGCATAAATAAATATTAATATTATTACTATTATTATACTTGCAAAGTCCCTCTGTACTACAGTTAGTGAATGATAAAATTATGTTAATTTTCTCTCAAATTATACTACAGTATTATTTGTCCAGAAGAGAAACCACAAAGAATCACATCCAACTAGTTCAGGTGTTCAGCGAGTAATTTTTGACCCCATGGTGCCCAACCCAGTCTGACTCAAAAATTACAACAAAATTTTAACCAATTTTACAGGAAAAAAATATTCACACCCCTGTTTTCACACACTTTAAACTTACATTTGGTCTGCATTTACTTTCAGCATTTCAACCGTCCTCAAGCTTTGGCGGCATTGAAAATCTGCCGACGGCTTGCTGTGGGTCCGTCCCTCAAGAGTGTTCCAAGTGCTATTGAAAAATGAAACCAAGTCTAATTAGATATACTGTATGTAGTAATTAACACACTGATACTGCATATATAAACATTTTATACTGGGATTCCAATACTAATTGTGAAAATCCACATTTGAAAGTTGACTGAATTGTGAAAATTCATTTTTGAAAGTTTTCAGGAAATGCACAATAAAATCTCAAGAACGTTATGCTGTACTGTATATCTAATGGCTATGAGAAATAGTGAGGCTCACATCCCTGGACTCATTGTTCAGATCCAGTGCATGCACCTGGGATGTCTTGGGATGAGGGTCCAGTGCGTGCACCTGGTAAGTCCTGGGATGAGGGGTCCAGTACATGCACCTGGAATGGACAGGACATCCCAGGCAGTCTTCTGACCATTTGTGGAGTTCATGTAGATCTCTTTATAAGGCTTCAATATCATTATAATTTCCAATGTCACCATAAATCTTTGTGATGTCTGTAAATTTGATGATGTGGTCTGTACTCTCATCTACTGTATGTCACTGATGCCTATGTCAAAAAGGGTTGGCCCCAAAATGGACCCCTGTGGTACCCCACTTACCACATTTCTCCCGTCAAGATTCATTGCCATTTAGCACGACTTTGTTTTCTTTGTTGTAACAATTGTTTTATTACTTCTAGTATTCTTCCACTTATTCCATGTGCCTGTAATTTCCTTGCCAGTTTTTCATGTGGTACCTTATCAAAGGAACAAATCCACAAGGGCTGTGACGAGGATTCGAACCTGCGTCCGGGAGCATCCCAGACACTGCCTTAATCGACTGCCTTATCAAAGTGCCTTATCAAAGGCTTTAGCAAAATACACATATACTACATCAACTGGAAGTCCTTTGTCTGAGTAGCCGGTTACCATTTCCAAAATGTGAGCAGGTTTCTAAGGCAGGATCTATTTTTAACAAACCCAGGTTGTGTTGACTTTACAAGACTGTTCACCGTGAGATTTTAATTTTTTTTTTTTTTTTTGCTGATGACTAGATTGTGAGTGAGAATATTGACTAGACCGTGGGATAGTGAATGGTTCCCTCCCTGAGGATTCTCTCTATGAGCTTGTGTGATGTCAAGCTGCCTGGACGATAGTTCTCTGCTTAGACCTTTCTGACTTTTTCTGAAAGTAGGGGCGATATTTGCATATTTGTAAAGTAGTGGGACTATCCCTTGGTCCAGAGACTTTGTGAAGGGAGTAGTTTCCGTGGCAGGCACAGTTCTTGTGGCAGTTCCTTTATGACTTTTGGAGTGTATTCCATCCGCACCTGAAGCTGTTGAGTCCTTTAGCTTGTCAATGTTCTTCCTGATTAATGTGGCAAGTTATGGTTATGTTCCTTAATACATTCTCTTCACCTCCTTCAGACATGTGTGTGTGGGTGATGGGGTGTTGTCTAACCTCTCTAGTGTGGGGGTGATGGGGTGTTGTCTAACCTCTCTAGTGTGTGGGTGATGGGGTGTTGTCTAACCTCTGTAGTGTGTGGGTGATAGGGTGTTGTCTAACCTCTCTAGTGTGGGTGATGGGGTGTTGTCTAACCTCTCTAGTGTGGGTGATGGGGTGTTGTCTAACCTCTCTAGTGTGGGTGATGGGGTGTTGTCTAACCTCTCTAGTGTGGGTGATGGGGTGTTGTCTAACCTCTCTAGTGTGTGGGTGATGGGGTGTTGTCTAACCTCTCTAGTGTGGGTGATGGGGTGTTGTCTAACCTCTCTAGTGTGGGTGATGGGGTGTTGTCTAACCTCTCTAGTGTGTGGTGATGGGGTGTTGTCTAACCTCTCTAGTGTGTGGGTGATGGGGTGTTGTCTAACCTCTCTAGTGTGGGTGATGGGGTGTTGTCTAACCTCTCTAGTGTGGGTGATGGGGGTGTTGTCTAACCTCTCTAGTGTGTGTGCTGGGGTGTTGTCTAACCTCTCTAGTGTGGGGGTGATGGGGTGTTGTCTAACCTCTCTAGTGTGGGTGATGGGGTGTTGTCTAACCTCTCTAGTGTGTGGGTGATGGGGTGTTGTCTAACCTCTCTAGTGTGTGGGTGATGGGGTGTTGTCTAACCTCTCTAGTGTGTGGGTGATGGGGTGTTGTCTAACCTCTCTAGTGTGTGGGTGATGGGGTGTTGTCTAACCTCTCTAGTGTGTGGGTGATGGGGTGTTGTCTAACCTCTCTAGTGTGTGGGGGTGATGGGGTGTTGTCTAACCTCTCTAGTGTGTGGGGGTGATGGGGTGTTGTCTAACCTCTCTAGTGTGTGGTGATGGGGTGTTGTCTAACCTCTCTAGTGTGTGGTGATGGGGTGTTGTCTAACCTCTCTAGTGTGGGTGATGGGGTGTTGTCTAACCTCTCTAGTGTGGGTGATGGGGTGTTGTCTAACCTCTCTAGTGTGGGTGATGGGGTGTTGTCTAACCTCTCTAGTGTGGGTGATGGGGTGTTGTCTAACCTCTCTAGTGTGTGGGTGATGGGGTGTTGTCTAACCTCTCTAGTGTGTGGGTGATGGGGTGTTGTCTAACCTCTCTAGTGTGTGGGTGATGGGGTGTTGTTTAACCTCTCTAGTGTGTGGTGATGGGGTGTTGTCTAACCTCTCTAGTGTGTGGTGATAGGGTGTTGTCTAACCTCTCTAGTGTGTGGTGATGGGGTGTTGTCTAACCTCTCTAGTGTGGGTGATGGGGTGTTGTCTAACCTCTCTAGTGTGGGTGATGGGGTGTTGTCTAACCTCTCTAGTGTGGGTGATGGGGTGTTGTCTAACCTCTCTAGTGTGGGTGATGGGGTGTTGTCTAACCTCTCTAGTGTGTGGGTGATGGGGTGTTGTCTAACCTCTCTAGTGTGTGGGTGATGGGGTGTTGTCTAACCTCTCTAGTGTGGGTGATGGGGTGTTGTCTAACCTCTCTAGTGTGGGTGATGGGGTGTTGTCTAACCTCTCTAGTGTGGGTGATGGGGTGTTGTCTAACCTCTCTAGTGTGTGGGGGTGATGGGGTGTTGTCTAACCTCTCTAGTGTGGGTGATGGAGTGTTGTCTAACCTCTCTAGTGTGTGTGGGTGATGGGGTGTTGTCTAACCTCTCTAGTGTGTGGGTGATGGGGTGTTGTCTAACCTCTCTAGTGTGGGTGATGGGGTGTTGTATAACCTCTCTAGTGTGGGTGATGGGGTGTTGTCTAACCTCTCTAGTGTGGGTGATGGGGTGTTGTATAACCTCTCTAGTGTGTGGTGATGGGGTGTTGTCTAACCTCTCTAGTGTGTGGGTGATGGGGTGTTGTCTAACCTCTCTAGTGTGTGGTGATGGGGTGTTGTCTAACCTCTCTAGTGTCAACACTGATGTAAAGTATTTATTGAGAGTGTTTGCTGCCTTCTTGTCCTCCAATATAACTTGGTTAGTCTCATCTTATGAGGGTTCCACCAAGTCCTTTGTTTTGGTTATACTTCTTATACACTATAGGCTTAATTATTATTATTAATACTAGACTAATTAACACTCAGGATGTTAATGACTAGCAGTCAGGAAGTCAATGACTAAGTCAATTCTTAATTAACAGTCAAGCAGACAGCCTAATTAACAACCAATCAATAACTAATTAAGTCAATTATATATTAAAAGTCAATGACTAACAGTAAATTATTAAGTCATTCATTAATAACCAATTAAAGGCAATAACTAATTAACAATGACTGACAATCAATGACTAAGTAGCATGTTAATTACTAATTAAGAGGATTACTTGTCAATGACCAAGAGTCAATAACTAATTAAGAGTTCAGATTAAGTCAATAAACTTTTTAACATTCAGTGACTAACAGTGAATGATTAATAATTATATATATATATTAATCATTATATTTATATAATTATATTATTAATCATTGACTGTTAAGTCACTGAATGTTAATTATTGACTGTTACTCATTAACTATTGATTAATTAAGTCATTTCAACATATTTGTAACTCATCTTGTATATATAAATATTCGATTTGATTTGGTCAATGATTAACAGTCAAAACTAATTAACAGGCAAATTAATTAGTAGTTAGGGACTGACCAATAAATGACAGAAATGTTAATTTGACCATTTAAATGTGTTGAAGATTATCATAAACCATAAATAGCAATTGTTCCCTTAATTAGGATTTTTTTTAATCATAATATTAACGTTTTTACAGATAAAAAAATCATATTTATGAAACAAATTAAAACTAATGGACTTTCTTTGATTTATTATACTGCATAATAATAATAATTATATTCATTTATGTAAAAAAAAAATCCTATTTTGTTGTTGTTTACTTGGGGATTAATTTAGGAATAATATGATGGTGCTTAGAGGTCATATTCCCTTAACGAAGCGACCATCTTCACCATCTACTTTATATATCATATTTCGTCTTAATGGCCTGCTGAAGGAGGCCCTGGGCGGTGGCCACGGTCGGGGCTTGGCACTACTGATGGCTTAGGAGAGCAACCATGCCCGCCAGCGACTCAAAAATACACTAGTGTATAATTTTGCAAAATGAAACTGTTGAAGATGTCTGGCCGAGGGAGTACATTTTTAAACAAAGCAAACTCAGTTATCGCTCATTTTTCCCTAAAGACTTGCTGGCCGAGCAGTCCTTGAGGGTCTTAAATTACGTAGAATAAATATATAATTATTCCCAGGGCCAGACGTACCTGTAATGGCGTAAAAGCCCGCAGAAGGCGTCCCAGTGGACACATATCGCAGGTGAAGAACAACAAACATGGCCGACCTCGCAAGCTCAGCCGCTGATTGGCCAGGCAGGAGTCAAAACTCGCATCTGATTGGCAAAAAAAATTCCCGGGAAACACAAATAGTGATCTTCATAGGTTCACTTGGATTTAGAACTGTTTTATAGGAATACCGAGTCGTTAATCATAGGGATAATCGCTTCGTCTACCACAATGTTATTTAAATACAGAAAATTTATACTAACCAAACCTAATTAAGTACATTAGCGCAGAATAACAAGAAAACGTTGCATATATTTACACGTATATTCGGCTGACATCAATTCCATATATTTAAGAAGCTTAGGTACACAAAGGACAAGTTACAGCCCCGCTCCTGTGCCAGGTAAGTCCACTACGTTTTGTTCCTAGTAGCCGAATCGTAAACAACAACAACACAAGGGACAACAGTGTCAAGCTCAACAAGCCACAATGTAACACACACAAGGGACAACAGTGTCACACTCAACAAGCCACAATGTAACACACACAAGGGACAACAGTGTCAAGCTCAACAAGCCACAATGTAACACACACAAGGGACAACAGTGTCAAGCTCAACAAGCCACAGTGTAACACACACAAGGGGCAACAGTGTCAAGCTCAACAAGCCACAATGTAACACACACACAAGGGGCAACAGTGTCAAGCTCAACAAGCCACAATGTAACACACACACAAGGGGCAACAGTGTCAAGCTCAACAAGCCACAATGTAACACACACAAGGAGCAACAGTGTCAAGCTCAACAAGCCACAATGTAACACACACACAAGGAGCAACAGTGTCAAGTTTAACAAGCCACAATGTAACACACACACAAGGAGCAACAGTGTCAAGCTCAACAAGCCACAATGTAACACACACACAAGGAGCAACAGTGTCACACTCAACAAGCCACAATGTAACACACACACAAGGAGCAACAGTGTCAAGCTCAACAAGCCACAATGTAACACACACAAGGGGCAACAGTGTTACACTCAACAAGCCACAATGTAACACACACACAACCTTTCCAGATATTCTAAAAAAAAGCGAGAGTAACGCCTGTCCACAAATGTGGTGATCTCACAGATGTTAACAACTACAGACCTATATCAATCCTGCCAAACTTGTCAACATTTTTTGAAAAACTAATCTATAAGCAGCTTTACTCATATCTAGCCAAACTCAATATACTTAGCCCTTGCCAATATGGCTTCAGGCCCAAAAAAAGCACTAACGATGCACTTATTAGTATGCTTAACTCGATTCATACAGCTCTTGATAAAAATGAGTTCCCTGTTGGGTTATTTGTGGACCTGCGTAAAGCTTTCGATACTGTCAACCACCAAAACCTTCTTCTTAAATTACATCATTATGGTGTCAGAGGACACTCCCTACAATACCTCAAATCCTACCTTACTGACAGGCTCCAATGTGTTTCTGTGAATAATACAATTTCTCCCACCCTACCCATCAACATTGGTGTTCCCCAGGGTAGCATACTTGGCCCTCTCCTCTTTCTCATCTACATTAATGACCTTCCAAATGCCTCCCAACACCTCAAACCAATCCTATTTGCTGACGACACAACCTTCATTTACTCCAGTCCTGATCCCCTTGCTCTAAATGCCACAGTAAATACTGAGCTAAATAAAGTCCATCTGTGGCTAACTGCCAACAAACTCACCCTTAACATTGACAAAACTTTCTATATTCTGTTTGGCAATAAATCCTCTAATCAAATAAATCTCAAAATAAACAATACCCAAATTTGTAACAAATTAGATGGCAAATTCCTTGGCATTCTCATTGACCACAAGCTGAATTTCCAGGGACACATTCTAAACATATCAAAAAAAGTTTCAAAAACTGTGGGCATTCTTTCTAAGATCAGATATTATGTACCACGCCCTGCCCTGGTGACTCTCTATTACTCCCTTATCTATCCATATCTCAACTATGGTATTTGTGCTTGGGGCTCTACTACCCAAAATCACTTACGTCCTCTAATTACTCAACACAAAGCTGCTATTAGGACAATATCCAATTCTGGCCCCAGACAGCACTCGGTACCCCTACTCAAATCTCTGAATATGTTAGACATTAAGTCACTGCACATTCTCTCATGTGTACTATACATATATAAAACGCTAAACTGTAATGCCAATCCTGATCTCAAAAGCTTCATAGAAGGTTGTAACAGAACCCATGAGCACCACACCAGAAATAAATACAGTTTTGATATTCCTAGAGTACGACTTAATCAAACCAGAAATGCTCTACAAATCAAGGGGCCCAGAATGTGGAATGACCTTCCCAACCATGTTAAAGACTGTACCTCTCTCAACCAGTTTAAGTTAAAAACGAAGCTATACCTAATAAATTCCCTGTAACCTACCTTACCCCTCTATTGTCAACCCATGTATGTTTTTTGTTTTTTTTTTTTGTTTTTTTTTGTTTTTCAAATCAACGCTGTTTTAATGTAATTTTCTGTAATAATTTGTAATTGTATTTGTGTTGTTTTTTCAACAATGTTCCCCCCTCTTTTACCTCTATTTTTATTTGTACTCAACGCATTTTTTTCTTTTTACCCATTAGTTTTAAGCTTTAGTCAGTAGTGTTTTTTTTCCTGCCCGAAACGCTTTGCGTAATAGTGGCTTTAGGCATTGTATGTACTAGCTCTTATCTATAAAGCCAACAAACTTTGTAAAATCTCTTTATGTATGTACCTTTGCCTAAATAAAAATTATTATTATTATTATTATTACAAGGGGCAACAGTGTCAAGCTCAACAAGCCACAATGTAACACACACACAAGGGGCAACAGTGTCACACTCAACAAGCCACAATGTAACACACACACAAGGGGCAACAGTGTCACACTCAACAAGCCACAATGTAACACACACACAAGGAGCAACAGTGTCAAGCTCAACAAGCCACAATGTAACACACACAAGGGGCAACAGTGTCACACTCAACAAGCCACAATGTAACACACACAAGGGACAACAGTGTCAAGCTCAACAAGCCACAATGTAACACACACAAGGGGCAACAGTGTCACACTCAACAAGCCACAATGTAACACACACAAGGGGCAACAGTGTCACACTCAACAAGCCACAATGTAACACACACACAAGGGGCAACAGTGTCAAGCTCAACAAGCCACAATGTAACACACACAAGGGGCAACAGTGTCACACTCAACAAGCCACAATGTAACACACACACAAGGGGCAACAGTGTCAAGCTCAACAAGCCATAATGTAACACACACAAGGGGCAACAGTGTCACACTCAACAAGCCACAATGTAACACACACACAAGCTGGGGCAACAGTGTCAAGCTCAACAAGCCACAATGTAACACACACAAGGGGCAACAGTGTCATACTCAACAAGCCACAATGTAACACACACAAGGGGCAACAGTGTCAAGCTCAACAAGCCACAATGTAACACACACAAGGGGCAACAGTGTCAAGCTCAACAAGCCACAATGTAACACACACAAGGGGCAACAGTGTCACACTCAACAAGCCACAATGTAACACACACACAAGGGGCAACAGTGTCAAGCTCAACAAGCCACAATGTAACACACACAAGGGGCAACAGTGTCATACTCAACAAGCCACAATGTAACACACACACAAGGAGCAACAGTGTCAAGCTCAACAAGCCACAATGTAACACACACACAAGGGGCAACAGTTTGCGTGACAGGAGATGTCTCCCGCGGCAGCCCGTGAAGATTGATTGATTGATAAAGATTAAGCCACCCAAGAGGTGGCACGGGCATGACTAGTCCGTAAGGCCCGTGAACTCATGGTAGTTCTTAAGAAAGATGATCGACAAGGGGGCTCCGCGGCTGTGCCTGGTGCCCGGCGATCCGTGCCCTGTGATGTCGCTCCTGTGTTGCCGCCCCTTTCCGGGAAGAGGGGAATGAGGATTGCCTCGTCGGGGAGAGGGGGGGGGGGGGGCGCCGTATCTGATGAGGAGTCTGGACCCTATCTGGGGGTCCGGGTGCAGCTGGTTCCCTGGTGCTCGTCCACCGTGTGGGTGCCCAGCGTGAAGGCTTTCATCTTCGGTGTTCCTGATTTTATGAAGCGCCCTCGGGGGAAGTTTGGCGGTCGTCTTCAGGATCATTTGGAAGGCGTACTGTTTGTAGTTTCCGGAAAAAGGATTATCCGTATAAATATGTGTAGGCGTTGCCTTCTCACGTATGTCCCGTGCCTTTGGCATAGTTATGAGTTTCGATTGCGTTTTTGTTGTGAGCCCTTCAGGCATTTTGATTGTTCATTTGTATTGTTTGTAACGTGTGATGCTTTTGTGTATTTGTCTTTGTATGAACCTGTTGCTATGTACTTCTGTATTTATGTCTTTTCATGTATTTGTGTGGGTGTGGTTTAGGGATTATTGTTTTGTTCCTTTGTAACTTGTATTTTTGTTGTTGGTTTCTTTTTTGTATTTGTTTTTATGGTATTCATGTAGCACGCTTTCGCATGTAAATAAATATATATAACAAAGTTCCAAATGTGATTTTTTTTGTACAGTACAACAATCCGTATTTTGTACATTTCATCCATAGTTGCTGTATAGGTTCTATAATTTTCAAAGATTGGGTTGAGATAGTTACAAAGTCCGAAAGTGTCTCAGGATTTGGTCACAAATCAATGACAAGAGGTCAGTCACCAGTATAGCAATAGTGTTGACGAGCATACCCTTAACAAGAGGTCAGTCACCAGTATAGCAATAGTGTTGACGAGCATACCCTTAACAAGAGGTCAGTCACCAGTATAGCAATAGTGTTGACGAGCATACCCCTAACAAGAGGTCAGTCACCAGTATAGCAATAGTGTTGACGAGCATACCCTTAACAAGAGGTCAGTCACCAGTATAGCAATAGTGTTGACGAGCATACCCTTAACAAGAGGTCAGTCACCAGTATAGCAATAGTGTTGACGAGCATACCCTTAACAAGAGGTCAGTCACCAGTATAGCAATAGTGTTGACGAGCATACCCCTAACTCTTGTTGACATAGTGTACAGTCAGAGTGCTCCCTCTTCGCAGATTCAATACCGGCAGCTACCTGTGAATATATCATTTTGTTATTTACAGTACGTACTTAAATGATTATGGCTTATTTTCGAATCCGTGCTTGAAGTGGTAGTGCGGGCTCCATCATGGGGGCGAATGTTGCTACTTTGACAGACTTTGGTGCTGATTTGGGGATGATGCTGTCGAGTTGTATAAAACTCTTGCGGTGCATCGTAGTGCCAAGAGGTAATTTTGGGGCACAACTGGTCGAGTCCTAGAGTTCTGAAGGATGGTTCAAGGTCTTCACTAAGGATATGTATTCACCAAGATGTGCTTGTGGAGGTTGAGCTTTGGCTCTTTGGTCCCGCCTTTCAACTGTCAATCAACTGGTCAACTCCTGAGCCTACTGGGCTCTATCATATCTACATTTGAAACCATGGTTGTTTGAAGGATAATTTTGGGGGTAATTTTTTATCCATATGGATGTGTTGGGGTCTTCAGAGGGAGTGGCAGCTCCTGCACACATTACATCTTGTGGCGAGGCTTCCCGAGAGCTTGTAATTGTTTCTCCTGCGAGGCTTCCCAAGAGCTTGTAATTGTTTCTCCTGCGAGGCTTCCCAAGAGCTTGTAATTGTTTCTCCTGCGAGGCTTCCCAAGAGCTTGTAATTGTTTCTCCTGCGAGGCTTCCCAAGAGCTTGTAATTGTTTCTCCTGCGAGGCTTCCCAAGAGCTTGTAATTGTTTCTCCTGCGAGGCTTCCCAAGAGCTTGTAATTGTTTCTCCTGCGAGGCTTCCCAAGAGCTTGTAATTGTTTCTCCTGCGAGGCTTCGTGATGAGGATGACCGCAGAGCTCAACACATGATTGATATCTACGTTTGGTATGACCTCTATCGACTCAGGAGGCCATACATGTACACGTAAGCTAACAGATCTTTATTCTGACTATGCATAAACAAGATGAACTCCCATGATTCATTCAATCTTCTAATATCCTATGTATATATGTATGTATGTACTCACCTAATTGTGCTTGCGGGGGTTGAGCTTTGGCTCTTTCGTCCCGCCTCTCAACTGTCAATCAACTGGTGTACAGATTCCTGAGCCTATTGGGCTCTATCATATCTACATTTGAAACTGTGTATGGAGTCAGCCTCCACCACATCACTTCCTAGTGCATTCCATTTATTAACTACTCTGACACTGAAAAAAATTCTTTCTCACGTCTCTGTGGCTCATCTGGGTACTAAGTTTCCACCTGTGTCCCCTTGTTCGTGTTCCACCCGTGCTGAAGAGTTTGTCTTTGTCCACCCTGTCAATTCCCCTGAGAATTTTGTAGGTGGTTATCATGTCTCCCCTTACTCTTCTGTTTTCCAGGGATGTGAGGTTCAGCTCCTTTAGCCTTTCCTCGTAGCTCAATCCTCGTAGCCCAATCATACATACATGTATGTATGTATGTATGTATGTATGTATGTATGTATGTATGTATGTATGTATGTATGTATGTATGTATGTATGTATGTACTCTTGCTTAAATAACAATTATTATTACTATTAATAAATTAAAATTACAGCTGACGACTAAAACAGAAAAGACTTTGATAATATGTATTATGTAAACATACTGTAATTTGTATAATAATCTTCCTATTTAATTTAAAAAAAATAATACTGCTTAATTAAATATTAAGGAGTAATATTTCAGTAGTAAGTAGTATATATATATATATATATATATATATATATATATATATATATATATATATATATATATATATATATATATATATATGCGAACAAGCCTGAATGGTCCCCAGGACAATATGCAACTGAAAACTCACACCCCAGAAGTGACTCGAACCCATACTCCCAGATGCCACGCAACTGGTATGTACAAGACGCCTTAATCCACTTGACCATCACGACCGGACAAAATGAGGTGATAGCCGAGGCTATTTGAACCACCCCACCGCCGGCACTCGGATAGTAATCTTGGGCATAGCATTTTACCAAATCACCTCATTCTTTGGGGCACACGTGAGGAACACAAATGCAAACAAGCCTGAATGGTCCCCAGGACAATATGCAACTGAAAACTCACACCCCAGAAGTGACTCGAACCCATACTCCCAGATGCCACGCAACTGGTATGTACAAGACGCCTTAATCCACTTGACCATCACGACCGGACAAAATGAGGTGATAGCCGAGGCTATTTGAACCACCCCACCGCCGGCACTCGGATAGTAATCTTGGGCATAGCATTTTACCAAATCACCTCATTCTTTGGGGCACACGTGAGGAACACAAATGCGAACAAGCCTGAATGGTCCCCAGGACAATATGCAACTGAATCACCTCATTTTGTCCGGTCGTGATGGTCAAGTGGATTAAGGCGTCTTGTACATACCAGTTGCGTGGCATCTGGGAGTATGGGTTCGAGTCACTTCTGGGGTGTGAGTTTTCAGTTGCATATTGTCCTGGGGACCATTCAGGCTTGTTCGCATTTGTGTTCCTCACGTGTGCCCCAAAGAATGAGGTGATTTGGTAAAATGCTATGCCCAAGATTACTATCCGAGTGCCGGCGGTGGGGTGGTTCAAATAGCCTCGGCTATCACCTCATTTTGTCCGGTCGTGATGGTCAAGTGGATTAAGGCGTCTTGTACATACCAGTTGCGTGGCATCTGGGAGTATGGGTTCGAGTCACTTCTGGGGTGTGAGTTTTCAGTTGCATATTGTCCTGGGGACCATTCAGGCTTGTTCGCATTTGTGTTCCTCACGTGTGCCCCAAAGAATGAGGTGATTTGGTAAAATGCTATGCCCAAGATTACTATCCGAGTGCCGGCGGTGGGGTGGTTCAAATAGCCTCGGCTATCACCTCATTTTGTCCGGTCGTGATGGTCAAGTGGATTAAGGCGTCTTGTACATACCAGTTGCGTGGCATCTGGGAGTATGGGTTCGAGTCACTTCTGGGGTGTGAGTTTTCAGTTGCATATTGTCCTGGGGACCATTCAGGCTTGTTCGCATTTGTGTTCCTCACGTGTGCCCCAAAGAATGAGGTGATTTGGTAAAATGCTATGCCCAAGATTACTATCCGAGTGCCGGCGGTGGGGTGGTTCAAATAGCCTCGGCTATCACCTCATTTTGTCCGGTCGTGATGGTCAAGTGGATTAAGGCGTCTTGTACATACCAGTTGCGTGGCATCTGGGAGTATGGGTTCGAGTCACTTCTGGGGTGTGAGTTTTCAGTTGCATATTGTCCTGGGGACCATTCAGGCTTGTTCGCATTTGTGTTCCTCACGTGTGCCCCAAAGAATGAGGTGATTTGGTAAAATGCTATGCCCAAGATTACTATCCGAGTGCCGGCGGTGGGGTGGTTCAAATAGCCTCGGCTATCACCTCATTTTGTCCGGTCGTGATGGTCAAGTGGATTAAGGCGTCTTGTACATACCAGTTGCGTGGCATCTGGGAGTATGGGTTCGAGTCACTTCTGGGGTGTGAGTTTTCAGTTGCATATTGTCCTGGGGACCATTCAGGCTTGTTCGCATTTGTGTTCCTCACGTGTGCCCCAAAGAATGAGGTGATTTGGTAAAATGCTATGCCCAAGATTACTATCCGAGTGCCGGCGGTGGGGTGGTTCAAATAGCCTCGGCTATCACCTCATTTTGTCCGGTCGTGATGGTCAAGTGGATTAAGGCGTCTTGTACATACCAGTTGCGTGGCATCTGGGAGTATGGGTTCGAGTCACTTCTGGGGTGTGAGTTTTCAGTTGCATATTGTCCTGGGGACCATTCAGGCTTGTTCGCATTTGTGTTCCTCACGTGTGCCCCAAAGAATGAGGTGATTTGGTAAAATGCTATGCCCAAGATTACTATCCGAGTGCCGGCGGTGGGGTGGTTCAAATAGCCTCGGCTATCACCTCATTTTGTCCGGTCGTGATGGTCAAGTGGATTAAGGCGTCTTGTACATACCAGTTGCGTGGCATCTGGGAGTATGGGTTCGAGTCACTTCTGGGGTGTGAGTTTTCAGTTATATATATATATATATATATATATATATATATATATATATATATATATATATATATATATATATATATATGTATATATATATATATATATATATATCATCGAAAATGGGTACATATCTACCGGCACATATATACAGTAATGTAGTTACCTGTTGACTACCTGTTTAAGAGTCTTGGTATTAATGTCTCCGCGGCCCGGTCTCTGGCCGTTAGAATATCGAATTTGTATAAGATTTACAGTTCTGTTTAAAATGTATTTTATAATTTTATGCTAAATGTTATTCAACATTTGTGACGCAATCAATTTATAATTAAATAATGAAAGATTATAATATTTCTAGATTAAATACTCAGAGCTGCTCCTATTATGTCTATATTAGCCTATCCCAAACATAGATTTTATTGAGCATAGATTTTTATTTAGACACGCTCTTGCCTTTCGGAACGCGATTACCAACACGCATTTCTTCCCGAAGGCTCGTGCTGTTAGCTCTTGGGCTCCGCCTTTCTAACCGTCGGTTGCCTAATGTATACTAACTCCGACCTAGTTATCTCTATTGTTACGTATTCTCCGTAAGTATTAGGGCTGGTTGAGGGTCTATGCAGGTTTTGTGACGGGACTGTGAGGGCGAGTTAGGGATGAGTTAAGGTCTGGTAAGAGTATGAGTGAATAATTTTAATAAATATGTATGGCAGCCTAATTTAGGATGAATCAGTAGGTGCAGGTGAACACGCAGTGGTTATATTGCGACAGGTAGTGACGCAACCAACTGCGTCTAGGTGCAGGGGGCGACGCAACTCGCTGCTTCAAGTGGAGGTGGCGATGCAATCAACTGCGTCTAGGTGCAGGGGGCGACGCAACCAGCTGCTTCAAGTGGAGGTGGCGATGCAATCAACTGCGTCAAGGTACAGGGGGCGACGCAACCAGCTGCTTCAAGTGGAGGTGGCGACGCAACCAACTGCGTCAAGGTACAGGGGGCGACGCAACCAGCTGCTTCAAGTGGAGGTGGCGACGCAACCAACTGCGTCAAGGTACAGGGGGCGACGCAACCAGCTGCTTCAAGTGGAGGTGGCGACGCAACCAACTGCGTCAAGGTTCAGGGGGCGACGCAACCAGCTGCTTCAAGTGGAGATGGCGACGCAGCCAACTGCGTCAAGGTGCAGGGGGCGACGCAACCAGCTGCTTCAAGTGGAAACGGCGACGCAGCCAACTGTTCAAGGGCAGCTGGCGACTCAGACGACTATAACAGGAGCGCGGAAGCAGATGAGAACACGGTCCTGTTCATCCATCACAGTAAACTCCACCACAACGGTACCTTGGGCCTAGGGGCAGGGAGGAGAGATGGTGAGGAGAGACGGGGAGAGGAAGAGAAGGGGGAGAAGGCAGAGCAGGAAGGAATGCGGACGAGCAGCAGTAGGAGAGAACGCGGGAATTAGAAATATGATAAACAAAACATTAGATTTAAGACATTCCGCATATTCTTTTTATGTTAATTTTAAATAACTTAGCTTAGAAAGTCTGAATTGTACGTCTCCTAAACACCAGTCAAAGATTGTTGATTAATCTGCAATTAATTCACTCAGGCTGTAACAGGCAGCCGACAATGCAAGCTTCTGAATTCATAGACATTTCGTACATGTCTTTGACCTTAGACACCTATGCACTAAACGCCTCAAGACACAGACATACAGCCACAGATTGATTGATGAACATTAAGCCACACACAAGAAATGGCACGGGCATAAATAGCCCGTAAATAGAGACACAATCAGCCTCGAACCTTATAAAGGCTTCATGTTTAAGGTACACCTAACCTAGGTCGAAATACTGACCGTCTTCAGGATGCAGCTCACAACAGTTGCCTGATCCCCAGTTACCTATAACTGCTAGAAAACGCATCCAACTTCTCGTCCTACTAGAGAATCGCACCCGGGGTCATTGGGTTGTGAGCTACTTAGGGAAAGTTGCACATTCGGTTGTGGCTGAAAATTCCCTCACTCCGTACTAGGCTCGCAACCATGGGCCCCGGGTTCAGTTCCACCGGCAGAACAGAAACGTGTAGGGAAACATTTCACTTCACCTGATACTTCTATTCCCCTGGGCTGCAGCCTGTGGAAGGTCAGTAACTAGCATAGGGGGGCCTTGATTATACTAACAGGCTTCTTTTGCAAGATTATGAAAACCAAATCAAGCAAAAACTGAAAGCATTTATCAAGATGTAGAGAGGTGCAGTCATATGCCACGCTATCGTACACAGCTTATTCTCCCTTAAAACCGTAAATATTGTTAGGTTAAAATGTATTACGGCTAGATTGGGTTTGGTTGGGTTAGGTTAGGTAAGGTAAGGTGAAGTTAGGTTAGGTTATGTAAGGTTAGGCTAGGTTATGTAAGGTTAGATTAGGTTGCGTAAGGTTAGGTTAGGTTACGTATGGTTAGATTAGGTTGCGTAAGGTTAGGTTAGGTTGCGTAAGGTTAGGTTAGGTTAGGTTGCGTAAGGTTAGGTTAGATTAGGTTACGTAAGGTTAGGTTAGATTAGGTTGCGTAAGGTTAGGTTAGATTAGGTTGCGTAAGGTTAGGTTAGATTAGGTTGCGTAAGGTTAGGTTTGATTAGGTTGCGTAAAGTTAGGTTAGGTTACGTAAGGTTAAGTTAGGTTATGTAAGTTTAGATTAGGCTGCCTAAGGCTAGGTTAGGTTGCATAAGGTTAGGTTGGGTTACGAAAGGCTAGGTTGGGTTACGAAATATTAGGTAAGGGAAGGTTTTAATATCCACTGACGAACGGAATTGTGTACAATGTGACCTGGCCACACAGATGTGCTAGGATGTCGTACCAGCCTAGCCTGCAGTGGGATGGTGATTGATTTGCTGATGGTGGTTGGCACACCGGGCCGTAGGGGACAGGGAGGGCTGATGTGGCCACACAGGTCCTTTCCCTTCTCCCCCGGCATGACAACGCGAACCGGTTTTCGGCCTCCATGCACGAACGGCAGCTTCACCCACACGTAGATGCTGCTCTCGATGCTGTAGATGACGTTCTCTAATGGGAAAATGAAAGATTTTAGATGTTTTCGGGGAAAGGATAAATATTTTTCGGGGAAAGGGGCATTGGTTTTCCTGAACTTACGTGAGGGGGCAACTACCTAGAGGCCTGAATAAGGACAGGAAGCCATGCAGCAGCTTGTCTAAGGTTCCTTTTAAGTCCTGATGATGGTAGTGAGCAGGATTTTGAATTTCAGACGTGTTTTGCCATTTATGGCTTTGTTGGGTAGCCTCTTCCATGGGTTTATAACCCTATGGATGAAAAAGGCAGCTCCTGTTTCTGGCCTTCATTGTGGCTTGTTGAGCTTGAAGCTGTTGCTCCTTGTGTGTGTTACATCTGACCATTTAAAAAACTTGTCTGGATAATCCTCCAAATTGTTCAGTATGTTAAAAAGTTTCGACGAGATCAGCCCTGTCATGTCTGGTTTGTAGTGTTGTTGGCCCTGTGGCCCTCAACCGTTCCTGAGAGTCTACTCAGGTCTTGAATGATTTTTGTTGCTCGGTGTTGAACTTTTTATTGTAATGCTACAGGTTAATTTAGTTAATTTATTATGCACCCCATACTCATCCTGTGAGTGGTAGTTTATTGTGCACCCCATACTCATACTGTGAACGGTAGCCTAAAAAAAAAGGATTACAAAGGGCACATAAGGTTTTCATCAGATCTCAACGGAGATTAATATATTAACAATTACATCTATCCTTCAGACCTTATAATTACATTGTCAGCTAGTTACAGAGATTCTTCCATTTCAAAAGCTACGTATTTACAGTTAATCAGTATACACTAATGGTCGGTCTTTTCACTAATACATAATTGTTTTAGCTGTGGAGATATTACAGTGCCTGTTGAAAGCTGCTGTTTGTTATTGTTAGTCTTCACACTTCACTGCTTCTTCCATAATCTCATATCTTGTGCTACCCACTCCCCCAATATCATTGTAATCATTGCTATCATCTTATATAATGGTTGATATCTTGAACGCATATTTTACTACAATATATCTGTAGTTAAATACTAAGAGAGAGAGAGAGAGAGAGAGAGACACAGAGAGAGAGAGAGAGAGAGAGAGAGAGAGAGAGAGAGAGAGAGAGAGAGAGAGAGAGAGAGAGAGAGAGAGAGAGAGAGAGAGACAGGAGAGAGAGAGAGAGAGAGAGAGAGAGAGAGAGAGAGAGAGAGAGAGAGAGAGAGAGAGAGAGAGAGAGAGAGAGAGAGAGAGAGAGAGAGAGAGAGAGAGAGAGAGAGAGAGAGAGAGAGAGAGAGAGAGAGAGAGAGAGAGAGAGAGAGAGAGAGAGAGAGAGAGAGAGAGAGAGAGAGAGAGAGAGAGAGAGAGAGAGAGAGAGAGAGAGAGCACCATAACCATAAACTCCACACCAAAACATAATAGATGAGAGGGGGGTGGACACTGACCTGTCTCCTGAGTGAAGGTGACCTCATAGGTGCCGGAGCGGCCGACCTGTGCCAGGCAGGGCCACTTGCTGCACTCCTTCACCGCCACCGTCTGTAGCTTGCCCACCTGTGGCACGTCTGTAACACACACACAGACGCCAGCACTAACACACACACACCAACAGACGCCAGCACTAACACACAAACACCAACAGACGCCAGCACTAACACACACACACCAACAGACGCCAGCACTAACACACACACACCAACAGACGCCAGCACTAACACACACACACCAACAGACGCCAGCACTAACACACACACACCAACAGACGCCAGCACTAACACACAAACACCAACAGACTCCAGCACTAACACACACACACCAACAGACGCCAGCACTAACACACACACACCAACAGACGCCAGCACTAACACACACACCAACAGACGCCAGCACTAACACACTCCAACAGACGCCAGCACTAACACACACACCAACAGACGCCAGCACTAACACACACACACCAACAGACGCCAGCACTAACACACACACCAACAGACGCCAGCACTAACACACACACCAACAGACGCCAGCACTAACACACACACACCAACAGACGCCAGCACTAACACACAAACACCAACAGACTCCAGCACTAACACACACACACCAACAGACGCCAGCACTAACACACACACACCAACAGACGCCAGCACTAACACACACACACCAACAGACGCCAGCACTAACACACACACACCAACAGACGCCAGCACTAACACACACACCAACAGACGCCAGCACTAACACACTCCAACAGACGCCAGCACTAACACACACACCAACAGACGCCAGCACTAACACACACACACCAACAGACGCCAGCACTAACACACACACACCAACAGACGCCAGCACTAACACACACACTCCAACAGACGCCAGCACTAACACACACACACCAACAGACGCCAGCACTAACACACACTCCAACAGACGCCAGCACTAACACACACACCAACAGACGCCAGCACTAACACACACACTCCAACAGACGCCAGCACTAACACACACACCAACAGACGCCAGCACTAACACACACACTCCAACAGACGCCAGCACTAACACACACACTCCAACAGACGCCAGCACTAACACACACACTCCAACAGACGCCAGCACTAACACACACACTCCAACAGACGCCAGCACTAACACACACACCAACAGACGCCAGCACTAACACACACACTCCAACAGACGCCAGCACTAACACACACACTCCAACAGACGCCAGCACTAACACACACACTCCAACAGACGCCAGCACTAACACACACACTCCAACAGACGCCAGCACTAACACACACACACCAACAGACGCCAGCACTAACACACACACACCAACAGACGCCAGCACTAACACACAAACACCAACAGACGCCAGCACTAACACACACACACCAACAGACGCCAGCACTAACACACACACACCAACAGACGCCAGCACTAACACACACACACCAACAGACGCCAGCACTAACACACACACTCCAACAGACGCCAGCACTAACACACACACTCCAACAGACGCCAGCACTAACACACACACTCCAACAGACGCCAGCACTAACACACACACACCAACAGACGCCAGCACTAACACACACACACCAACAGACGCCAGCACTAACACACACACACCAACAGACGCCAGCACTAACACACACACCATTCAACTCCAACACAGACACACTACCACGCACTTAATAATATTCTAAGTAATGAATTTAAAAGCGTCCACTCTTGGACGCTTGGTTGACAGCGTTGGCTGTCAACCAGCAAACTCACACTCAACTTACAAAATACCTACTACATTTTATTTGGAAGCAAATCATCAAACCAGATTCAGCTTCAGATAGACAATGTTAACATCAGCAATAAAAACTATGGGCCTAGATATGATTGGCCTATACATTAACAGGAGGCTGAACTTCAGCACCCACACACAACACATAACCAAAAAAGTCTGAAAAACGGTTGGTATACTCTCTAAAATTAGATATTATGTTCCCCCCACTCTGCTCTCCTCTCACTATACTACGCGCTAATCTATCCCTATCTTACATATGGTATCTGTGCATGGGGTTCAACCACTGCAAATTACCTCAAGCCCATCATCACCCAGCAAAAATATGCTATTAGAACTATAACAAACTCTGTCTCCAGACAACACACAGCCCCTCTGTCTAAGTCCCTTAACACGCTAAACATACACTCACTCCACACATTCTCATGGGCTATTTACATGTACAAAACCTTTTTCCAAAATGCTAATCCTGATCTGAAACGTTTCATTAATACGTGTAATAGAACCCATGAGCACCACACCAGAAATAAATATATCTTTGATATCCCCAGAGTCAGACTAAATCTGTGCAAACACTCCATGCAAATAGAGGGACCCAGTCTTTGGAACTCCCTTCCCTGGTGAATTAAAAAGCTGTCCAACCTGCGCCTTATTCAAAAGTTAAACCAAAAAGTACCTAATTTCATCCTCATGGTTCCCCACCTCGTGCTTCCAACTCACACTGTATCTTGTACTACCCACTTCCCCAATAATAATGTTTAAGATCTGCAACTTCATTATAATCACAAATATAATCATTGCAGTTTATTTATAATATATTTTTTATGTTGAACATAAATTCTGTTACAATGTACTTATTATTTACACACAGAAATCACAATAGCGTGATGCATCAAATGAACAAATCCACAAGGGCCGTGACGAGGATTCGAACCTACGTCCGAGAGCATCCCAGACGCCATTCTTATACCATGTCGTAGCTCAGTTGATTAAGGCAGCGTCTGGGATGCTCTCGGACGTAGGTTCGAATCCTCGTCACGGCCCTTGTGGATTTGTTCATTTATTATTTCGTTTACTTTTATCAGCTAGCTTAAGGACCTGCCCGAAACTCTATGCGTCTTAGTGGATTTACCAGAATATAACACTCAAACACCAATGTTTTGTACTCTCACAGCCCAACATACCTTGTTGTATATAAATAAAATAAATAAATAAATAAGCCTTGGAACATATACACACACCAGAACAACACTGGAACACATACACATACACACATATGGGTTCTGGAAAGGGAAATCTTGCCTAACAAACCTTTTGGAATTCTATGATAAAATAACGAGGATAAGACAGGACAAAGAAGGTTGGGCTGACTGCATATTTCTGGACTGACAAAAGGCCTTTGATACAGTACCGCACATGAGACTGCTCTTCAAACTTGAGAGGCAGGCAGGAGTAAGCGGAAAGGCCCTAGTATGGGTAAGGAACTACCTAACAGGAAGGAGCCAGAGAGTTACGGTAAGGGGCGAGAAGTCAGACTGGCGAACAGTAACGAGTGGAGTACCACAAGGATCGGTGCTGGGACCAATTCTATTTCTAGTATATGTTAACGACATGTTTACAGGAGTAGAGTCCTACATGTCGATGTTCGCGGGTGACGCAAAGTTGATGAGAAGAGTTATGACAGATGAGGATTGTAAGATCCTCCAAGAGGACTTGAACAGGTTGCAGAAATGGTCAGAGAAATGGCTACTGGAGTTCAACACGAGCAAATGTAAAGTTATGGAAATGGGATTAGGTGATAGGAGACCAAAGGGACAGTACACAATGAAGGGGAACAGCCTACCTGTGACGACTCGAGAAAGAGACCTGGGCGTGGACGTAACACCTAATCTATCTCCTGAGGCACATGTAAATAGGATATCGACAGCAGCGTACTCTACACTGGCAAAAGTTAGAACATCATTCAGAAACCTAAGTAAGGAGGCATTTAGGGCGCTTTACACTGCCTACGTGAGGCCAGTCTTAGAGTATGCCGCCCCATCATGAAGTTCCCACCTGAAGAAACACACAAGGAAACTGGAAAAGGTTCAGAAGTTTGCACAAGACTCGTCCCAGCGTTAAGAGGGATGGGGTATGAAGAGAGCCTGAAGGAACTGGATCTTACGACACTAGAAAAAAGAAGGGAGAACGTATAAAATACTCAGGGGGATTGACAGAGTGGACATAGACGAAATGTTCACACGGAATAGTAACAGAACGAGGGGACATGGTTGGAAGCTGGGAACTCAGATGAGTCACAGAGATGTTAGGAAGTTTTCTTTTAGCGTGAGAGTAGTGGACAAAATGGAATGCACTTAAGGAGCAGGTTGTGTAAGTAAATACTATTCATAATTTTTTAACTAGATATGATAGGGAAATGGGACAGGAGTCATTGCTGTAAACAACCGATAGCTCGAATGGCGGGATCCAAGAGTCAGTGCTCGATCCTGCAGACACAACTAGGTGAGTACACTAGATGAAGAGAGAGATCAGAGCAGGGAGAAAACACACACACACACACACACACACACACACACACACACACACACACACACACACACACACACACACACACACACACACACACACACACACACACCAAGTCAAGAAGCACTCACTCTCCCAGCCACACACTATAGTGTACAGGGCGGCGCGTATGGCGTAACTCACTGCAGAGACCGAAGCCTTCCTTGTCGTCGACACGGATGGTGAGGCCGGGTTGAACACACCACACCATCACCATCATCACGGCCCAGGGCACCACCTTCGTCGCTCCACGCTGACTGCACCATCTCACCATATTGCAACCTCACCAATATTGAGATCAAAAAGATACATCACTATACATTATTTACAATATAAAATGAGTATTATCAATAAAATATTGGGTTGCTACTGGTTATATATTAATACAAGTGGTTTATACACTCAGACATCACTAATAACTTTTTGTTTTTGACCTGAATAGGATTCGAACCCCCGTCGTCCAGGATCACACCCCCCAAAGGGTTTACAGTACAGTAACCACCACACTAAGGAGATCTTTGGTGTGTGGTGCTTACAATAGTATCCTGTACGCTTGGGAGTGATCCTCGCCGGCAGGGGTTCGAATCCTGGTCGGATTATAATTAGTTCTTAGTGATTTATGGCTCGAGCGTTCATGCAGCCTTTGTGGCACACCGAGATAGGGGTCATTTCTCTGTGCATGGTGTCAGTGACATTTGAGGATACTTTTGAGGTAGTTTGAGGTAGTTTGCAAGTGATTGAGACACGGGTTTGAGGTAGTTTGGGGTGATTGAGACACGGCTTTGAGGTAGTTTACAGTGATTGAGACACGGCTTTGAGGCAGTTTGCAGTGATTGAGACACGGCTTTGAGGCAGTTTGCAGTGATTGAGACACGGCTTTGAGGCAGTTTACAGTGATTGAGACACGGCTTTGAGGCAGTTTACAGTGATTGAGACACGGCTTTGAGGTAGTTTACAGTGATTGAGACACGGCTTTGAGGCAGTTTACAGTGATTGAGACACGGCTTTGAGGTAGTTTACAGTGATTGAGACACGGCTTTGAGGCAGTTTACAGTGATTGAGACACGGCTTTGAGGTAGTTTACAGTGATTGAGACACGGGTTTGAGGCAGTTTACAGTGATTGAGACACGGGTTTGGGGTAGTTTGCAGTGATTGAGACACGGCTTTGAGGTAGTTTACAGTGATTGAGACACGGGTTTGAGGCAGTTTACAGTGATTGAGACACGGCTTTGAGGCAGTTTACAGTGATTGAGACACGGGTTTGGGGTGATTGAGACACGGGTTTGGGGTGACTGAACCCCGTATACAGTTATCGCGTTAAGAGATAAAGTTGTGAGTAGTAGTGAGAGAGAAGCAGATTGCATAATATATATTTCTGAAGGTATATGGTTAAACTGTTATGGTTATTTATCTGAATTTACTTTAGTTTACCTGAGGGCCGCCATGACTCTCCTCGTCCGTCTAGACGGGGACACGAAACCGGCGGGTTGTCAAAGAAGATAAGGTAATTTATTCTTAAGGATTTTGTCCAGCTGAATTTTGAACTGAAGTCATGTCTGGGTATTGACTAAATGATGTACAGGTTTCGTAATTGATATTTTCGTCAGTTTTTCGTAAGCAAATGCTTGATGAATCGTGGCTCAAGGATATGGTTGTTGAATTTATGAATGTAAACAAGTTTTCGAGGTTATAACTCTCGTTCTTGAGCTGGTAAACCGCAGGATCCGGATAGTCAGTTGTTTAGTTCTTGTATTCCTGACTTACTCTTAACTTCATTTGTTGTCATACGCATTTGGCAGTTCAGTTGGGCTGTGTGGTCGTCGTATGTTAGCAACAGGTCGTTACACTTGCAGATATTTAACCTCGTTAAAGTTGAAAGGAAGAACGCTATAGACCGCGGTCAGGTCTTGCTGTAACTACGCTGACGGAAGCTGCTCTCTGCGTATAGGGTCTAATGCCTCAAGAAGGTAAGTATCCCTTCATATCACTGCTGCTCAATAAACACACCTATTCTAACCTAATCTAACTTACCCTAACCTACCTTAACCTACACCAACCTATTCTAAACTACCCTAATTTAACCGAAGGAAAATAAAATATAATATATTTTTTTATCTCCAATGAAGGTACGTGACGTCATAATCAATATGCCAGTACAGGTTTTAGACCCGACTAGTCTCTCCACATTCCCTCCAACCGCGTGACAAACGCGGCCCGGGCTCAGAGGCTCGCTGCCCCACCTCACAGGTGATCCACACTGGTCACTCAGGGCACATCGCATCCCGCCACACGCTAAGGCCACAACCTTTCACCGGTCTAGAAACCTGTAGGTCGCTGGCAGAGCAACGTCTGCCATACCTCCATCAGGCGGGGATCCATCAGGCTCCCCATTCCCCTGAAGGAAGATTGCTATCAACAATGCACGACTCTGCGTTGATAGCTTTTACGAGGACATGGAGACCTTAATACAGAGGTCAATAAACCCTCAATACCTCAATGAACGCATTTGAATTTGAAGGCTTCCCTCAAACCACCTGGATAGTTATCTAGATATTTTTGATGGTCTGAACGCACTGAACGCATAATAGTCTACGTGTAAATTTGCAAGTAAACCTTTATCATAAACCGATAACATTCTTAAGTTATAACTTTATTGTACTATAAATAGTTCGTTTAAAATATAAAAAGTATATGCTGAACTCGTTTTCTTTGAAACAGTTTGAAGAATTTGGTTTTCTGTAAATTAAATTGTAGGCTATACTCAGATAATTTTCAAAATCTATATTTCACAATTTTGAAAAAAATTGTACGGTATTAACATTACCAAACAAAATTAAATCTTCCCTAATCTGACCTACTATAAATTTAACCTATCCTAACTATGGATAGGAAGTAGATAATAGCACTAATTCAGTGGTTTTGAAGTCGATACCTCCAGGGAATCTCCTTCACGAGGACAGGTTGCAGCACATGTTGATATAGCAGACTCAACATTGATTTAATGTTGCTAATGCTGATGTTGATTCAATGTTTGATCAGTGTCGTTTCCCCAGCCTTGCCCGGGGGGGGGAGGTGAGTGGGGGTAGTAAGAAAGCGGGGAAATCAGCGATGTCGACCAGTCACAATCAGTAATCATATACAATCACAAATAATTGCACAATCCACCATTGAGCAGAGTAGCAAACCCTTGGAAAATACTGATCATATTTTATATCACAAAATGCCAACGGAAATACGTTCACTGGACTGCCAGATTCACGAAGCAGTTACGCAAGTACTTACGAACGTGTACATCTTTTCTCAATCTTTGACGGCTTTCATTACATTTAGTAAACAGTTTACAAGCATGAAAACTTCCCAATCAACTGTTGTTATTGCTATAAACAGTCTCCTGGTGCTTCGGAACTCATTAACTGTTTAATAATTGTAAACAAACACGCCAAAGATCGAGAAAAGATGTACATGTTCGTAAGTGCTGGCGCGTAACTGCTTCGTGAATCTGGCCCCCCGGATGCCTTCTTTAGTGACTATATATACTTCCTGCTGTCGGGGACAGGAAGCCTGCGTGTATAATAATTCCTGCAGTCAGGGACAGGAAGACTGCTATGATTTTCTATCTGTCTTCGATATGGAGTCCACTGCCACCCACAGGATGGGTATGGGTCCGAGTACCGCCCAACGGGTTAAGTATGGGTACACTGCCGCCCACGGTATGGGTACGGCGTCCATTACCACTCACAGGATGAGTATAGGGTGTACCACCACTCAGAGGATGAGTATAGGGTGCACTACCACTCACAAGATGAGTATAGGGTGCACTACCACTTACAGGATGAGTATAGAGTGCACTACCACTCACAAGATGAGTATGGTCATACATACTAGACGAAACGAACTAGATACATAAATAACAAACGAACTAGACAAACCGATACTATTGAAATCCATTTGTAACCATTTTCTGCAGAAGGCCCACAAATGTGTATAACATACACACACCAAAATTCGAAGTTAACCTCAAACATAAATTTTTAACTTTTTTGTGGTGTTTATATATCCTACCAGACACCAAGGTCCCCTACAGCGACCTTTGACAGCAGTGTTTTGTAACACTGTGAAAAACAGCGAAGTCTACCATTGTGTGGACTCGGGGTAGGACTATACTGCTTCCTTCAACTTACCTTAAGAGCTGTACTTGCTGGGAGCTGGGAGCAAGTGGGTTCACGGCAGTACGTCTCTGAGTGGACTGTCAGCCTCCTCCCTCCTGACGCCCAGCTGACCGCTCCCAACATATACTTTCACTGCCTGGGAGGAGCTGTGTGTGTTGCGGGGGTAGGGGGACGGCTTGTTTGGGTGATGTGGGGAAGGGAGAGAGGGAGAGGGTTGATTTTTGGTGGGGTGGAGAGGAGTAAGATGCAATATATGCCATGATTCAGCAAAAGCACGGAGGTGGAGGAACTGTTATGTAAGCTCTGATGTAAATATTTTTATTTTGGATAATTAGTATTTATAATTATGGCCTGTACAGGAGCTAAAGTCATCTCCAGTGGTTGAGTGCTCTATAACCCGAGGCGCCATGTGTGTGCAGCCCGTCCTCTCCAGTGTTTACAACATCACTGAACTGATGCACTAAATTAACCTAACCTAACCGAGGACCCACGAATAGAAAACGGGACATTACATCAATTTTGCGAGCCACTATGATTATCAGTTCTCGGCCTAAGGGGATTTTTACGTCAAAATATGATGTACTCTTCGATAGGACAGTACACAACTTTGCGAGTACATACCATTTCATTAATAAAATCTATATTCTCACCACCTATGTACCTTGTATATATATATATATATATATATATATATATATATATATACGTAAATCAATAAATAACATAAATAAACTGTATTCGTACAATTCTCTAACCTAATCCATGGAGGACAGACAAAAATCTCGGCTAGCGAGGGTACACCACTCTTGCTGCGTCTGTGTACTACTGTGTACTACGGTGTACGTCGTTCACCACAAGGTGAAAACTCTTCTTGTGCTGTGAGCTTAAATTCAACCATTCAGTCCGTTGTTGTAACTGAATGAGCACGTCTGGGGTAGGAATAAGCTGATGGATCACTCAGTACAGTGAGGGAGGGAGGATTGAGAGAGTGAGGATGGAAGAGAGGTAGGCTGAACTGAGATAGATGAGATACTGAACAAAATGTCAATAAAATCAGTAATAATTTTGATGGGAGTGAAGATAAGCGGAAGGGTGGATGAACAACATGATGA